TAGCCGACATACTAATGAATACCCCAAACCCTGATAGAAGTTTCGAATAATTAAAATCATACTAGCGTGTGGATAACAAGTCACATGTCCTTTCACCCAGTTATGTACTAACCTTATACTACATGTGAGAGGAGGAGAGGGTGTTGGGGGGAAGAGAGAAAGGGTAGAAAGAGGAGAGAGAGGAGAGAGAAAGTTAGAAAGAGGGATAGAGAGGAAGAGTATGGGGGTGAGGGATAAGAACCAAGGGGGAGACAGAGAAAATTGAGGGGGGAGAGAAAGGGTAGAGAGAGGGAGAAAGAGAGGGAGAGGGAGAGAAAGAGATAAGGGAGAAAGGAGGGAAAGAAGGTAAAATTGAGAGGGAAAACGCGAGGCGGGGAAAGGTAAGAGGTGTCTGTGGGGAGGGCGGTCAAATTCCAAGGATCAGCAGTGTGGTATCACCTATTTGTGGTTCAGGGTCGAGACCCCAGCGCCGGCCCCTAGTGTGTAATGTGTGAGCGTGCGTGTGTGTGTGTGTGAGCAAGTCAGTTTGTTTATAATGACCCAGAAATACAATTCACTTCTGTGTATCCGTATAACTAATGAGAAAACCCATTAACACTGAAAGTAGTTTTTCTAATAATTAATAATACTAGCGTGTGATAACACGTCATTCATCACCTAGTTATGTACCTTTTGCTACATGTGTACCCCGTACTTGCTTCTTCAATTTGTTTATGCCTTAGTGATCCTACTAGACCATTATCTCTCGAACTGTTTTCAGCGCTGTAAGTCCCATTAGCCCCCTGACTTTAATCCTATCCTCCTGCTTATCCTTACTCCTATAAAGTTATCTTCCCTACTACTGCTAGTGGTTGTGTGTGTATGATAATCGCTCTGGAGCATGGTTTAGATATCGATTACCAGTGACCGCTGGGCCGGCTCTATCACCTCAGACTTCCCGCCAGACCACAAACAGGTGATTTGTACGTACGGTCAGAGGACGTCCATCCAGATGCCGAGTACTGATGCTCGCTGTACGATGCTGCTTGTATGATGACTCGTGCACCTCGCCCTTCCGCCACGACATCTTTTCGCTTATTCTTATCCTCGTTGCCCTTTTGAAGTCCTCATTTACCACACTTATCCCTTGTATACTGCTACTTTTATAATTTACCAACATTCACTTTGGGTAAGTTACAACCACTTATGTTGTGATGACACCCAGCCTGTTATGAGGGCGGCGCTACTCCCTCAGGCCCTACTGCCTGCCGTACCGACCTCTGCTTATATATATTTATGATCATATGTAAGTATATATAGATATAAATCCCCTTTACTGCTAGCTTGTCACATCTGTGCGCTACATCACATTTTGTCTTAGCGGCACCCTCTCTTAATTCCTAATTTGTCTTTTCTCTTTAGTCACTCGATTTGTACTTTGGTATAGTGTAACAATGTGGGCAACAGGTGCCAACTAGGCCCACAACGACTGGCGCTTTGAAATTTTTGTTGTATAATTTTCAGGCTTTTCTCTCGCCTTCACTTTATTATGTTTTGGCTAATACCCTGGTTATCACTTTAATGCCCCTTGCTGTTTAATTCTAATTTGGTCTTTTCTCCTTTAGGCGTCACTCGATTTGTACTTTGTATAAGTGTAACAAAGTGGCAAACAAGGAGCCAGACTAGCTCAACGAACAGGCGCTTTGAAATTTTGTTGTTATAATTTCAGCTTACTCTCGCCTTCACTTTATTATGTTTGCTAATACCTGGTTATCACTTTATGCCTCTCTTAATTCCCTTTGGTCTATTTTCTCTTTAGTCACTTCGATTTGTACTTCGTATCTGTGTAACGAATGTGGTCAAACAGTTGCCAACAAGCCTCAACGACTGGCCGCTATTTTGAAATTTTGTTGTATACTATCAGCTTCCTCTCGACCTTCACTTTATTTATGTTTGCTAAAACACTGTTATCACTTTATGCCCCTCTTAATTCTATTTGGTCTCTATCCCTCTTTAGTCACTCGAATTGTACTTTTATATGTGGTAACAATGTGGCAACAGGTGCCACTAGGCTCAAAACGACTGGCGCTTTGAAATTTATGCTGTATTATTTTTCATTTTAGGCATTCTCTCGCCTTTCACTTTATTTATGTTGCTAATACTACTGTTTATCACTTTAGGTTGTTCACGACGATGTCACTAACACTGGTTGCTTCTAAGCTGCTAAAACAACGCCCTAAAAGCACTAAGATCTCGGAGCCTGGCGCATGTGACCCACTACACTGTGTGTGTGTGTGTGATGTGTGTGTGTGTGTGTGTGTGTGTGTGTGTGTGTGTGTGTGTGTTGGTGTGTGTGTGTTTTCTCCATGTATAATTAATTAAAATACTTGAATGCAATGTGTGTGTTTTTTTTGTGTATGTATGTGTGCATGTAATCCGTATGTATCCAGTGTAACGAGTACATGCTTACATATGTGCAGCTTCAACGTGCTTACATGAGTGAGCATACATATGTGTACACGAAGCTCAGCCTCGCCACAGTGAATCTGCCTGAAAACAACAAACACACATGCAGTTAGTTAGGTAAACAAGGGAAGAGAATGTGTTGACCCAGCGCTCCCTCCTCTGGCCTCGCTGACCACAAGCTCCTCTGATTGGTTTAGAGTTCGTGACGTCACGACCTCTGTTAGCGATCGTGTTAGCTGCATTGTGCTATGCTTGCTTTGTTTACTCGACAGTCGCGTTAGTTATGTTAGAATATAAGTTAGCTTAAAGCTGCTATTAGCATGTTTAAATCTAAGATGCTAGGCCTAATCCTCTTTTGACATAAAACTAACAAGTCAGTGAGTGTAGGATTCTAGCTGGTCCTGGAGGTGAGGGATTCTAACAGGTTAGTGAACGTAGGATTCTAGCTGGCCCTAAAACTGAAGGAGTTTCGCAGGGTAAAAGACCATCTCGTCAAGACAATATTGCTCCTCCCTCACCCTGAGCTCCCAACTTTGTCTACATTTCTCAGGCGCACTCAAGTAAAGCTCTGGTCAGACTTTTCCGCTTCACACCTGACATAATTACAAAAGCTTCCATACGTCAGATAAGTTAACTTGTTACGTTTAATGCATGTCTAATATAAAAGGCTCATAAAGACTACGATTCACCTGTACTTTAATATCAAGTATACTGTATACACGGAAAAAGAATAAAGTGAGAGGCGCACATCTCTCAGTGTTTATACACTGAGAAATGCACATCTCTCTGTGTTTATACACTGAGAAATGCACATCTCTCTGTGTTTATACACTGACAGAGGCACATTCCTCGATGTAATTATGCGATATAACCGCCTATTCAGTGGAAATCTTCAGTGGAAATTTTCAAAGAATGAGTTTTTCTAAAGCCAAGGTAAGGTTCAGAAAAGTTGATTCGTCTTCCTTTAAGACACATGATTTGATGCTGACCCTGTACACAATGCTTGGGTCGTGTCCGGTAATTTACTTCTTCTAATAAGGCAACGACTATTACTTTCGAAAATGGGTAGGCACTGTGGGTAGGCATTGTGGGCAGGCACTGTGGGTAGGTACTGTGGGTAGGCATTGTGGGTAGGCACTGTGGGGAGGCACTGTGGGGAGGTACTGTGGGTAGGCACTGTGGGTAGGCACTGTGGGTAGGCACTGTGGGTAGGCACTGTGGGGAGGCACTGTGGGGAGGCACTGTGGGGAGGCACTGTGGGGAGGCACTGTGGGGAGGCACTGTGGGTAGGCACTGTGGGGAGGCACTGTGGGGAGGCACTGTGGGGAGGCACTGTGGGGAGGCACTGTGGGGAGGCGCTGTGGGGAGGCACTGTGGGGAGGCACTGTCGGTAGGCACTGTGGGGAGGCACTGTGGGGAGGTACTGTGGGTAGGCACTGTGGGTAGGCACTGTGGGGAGGCACTGTGGGGAGGCACTGTGGGGAGGCACTGTGGGGAGGCACTGTGGGGAGGCACTGTGGGGAGGCACTGTGGGGAGGCACTTGTGAATCATCGAATTATATAGTGTCACTTAGCAGTACTACTTCCTCAAGCACTTGATGATGTACTTGAGAAAACCCACAACGTTGTAATAACCGTTGTGATAAGTGTGTCTGTCGTCAGTCATCTGTCAGCTGACAGCTGTTATGCCCCATGTTGTTTGTTGTTGTTCATCTGTCTGGCAAAATCAGCTGACGCCGGTTAGTTGATTGAATTGAGGCATTTATATTTATAATTGGGAAGACCCTCCCCGCTCCCCAACATACACTTACGCACCAGCTTCTCTGATTGGTTTAAAGTGAAGAGGCGGGGCCAGGAGCAATGAATCGATCTCTGCAATCACAATTAGGTGAGTGCCATTTTAATGCACAAGAGGAACACAGGACAAGGCTTAGAAACGCGACCGTTTCTCGCTAATCAGACAGTGGCTCGAGCCTTCACTACTTGCGATGAATAACCCACACGGGGGTCTACCTACCCGTGGTCTATCAATCGGACTGTTGGTCCTAGCATCACGCAACATAAGCACCGCAATCTGGCTTATCATGAACTGACTTTGGGAAACTAATCCAGTTCCCTCTGGAAAACAGCCAGCGGTGTGTTGATAATTCCCCTCATATATGAGGGGAAGGTTTTTGAAAAGTCTTGCTCTACCTTATATATATTGAGTTACCTCTTACTGTGCTTGCTGCGTCCCCTACATGTACAGTTATTATGTAAACACAAGGAATAACGTGATAAGTTGACTACAGTTTATGCAATACCAAATTGTTTTCACTAACACACATGTATCAATATCTCCATATTCAGTTACAGTCTGCTAATTATTATTATTATTTTAATTATTATCATTATTATTATTATTTTAATTATTATCATTATTATTATTATTACTATTATTATTATTTAAATTATTATTATTATTATTATTATTATTTTTATTATTATTATTATTATTATTATTATTATTATTATTATTATTAATTATTATTATTAACATAACTTTTTTTTCACAGGTAGAGCCTAGTTGCTTGGTCAACACTTCAAGTAAGTACGTCAGATTTAAACCTAGAGAAAGAGTTGTTCTCTGTAGTGGTAGAGGAGTTACAAAATAAACCTTTATGGATACTGAGTTAAACAAGATGAAAGTGAATATAGAGGAGAAAGGTAGATGTATGGGAGAGTAGAGAGAGGGAAGATTACGTGTGTGTGTGTGTAGATGAGGAGAGATACGAGACACAGACATGGGCTATGCAGCTACAAATGCAAGAATCAAGGAAGAGGTGATAAGTGAGATGTGAACAAACAAGGGGATGATAAGTGAGTGATAGACTCAGTTATACACTGTTAATGCAGCAAGAGAGAGAGAGAGAGAGAGAGAGAGAGAGAGAGAGAGAGAGAGAGAGAGAGAGAGAGAGAGAGAGAGAGAGAGAGAGAGAGAGAGAGAGAGAGAGAGAGAGAGAGGAGACGTGCATTATAACTCACTAAGACTCATGAACGAGAGAGGAATGGTCCAGCCTTCAATTATTCTCCCATGGGATGGGACAAGACAATTACTGCTCTTTCCAATGGCATGGTAGTAATTATCACTGATCTCTCCCATGGCATGGCAAAAATTATCACTGCTATTTACCATGACATGGTAGAGATTATCACTGCTATCTCCTCCATGGTATGGCAGAAATTATCACTATTATCTCCCCATGGCGTGGTAGAAATTATCACTGCTATCTCCCCCATGGCAGAAATTATCACTGCTATCTCCCATGGCATGGCAGAAATTATCACTGTTCTCTCCCATGGCATTGCAGAAATTTTCACTGCTATCTCTCATGGCATGACATAAATTATCACCTCTATCTCCCATGGTATGGTAACAATTATCTTATCTCTTGAGACAAGATAATTACTACTGTCTCCCATGGTATAATTCAACACACATAATTCATCACATATAATTACTGGAGGAATGGGAGGTTATTACATTACTGGAGGAATGGAGAAGATTCAAATTAATTGAGAAATGGGATACTAGCCTTATGTATAGTTAGAAGCGCTAAACCAGAAGGGGTGGGGGTCACACAGCACCAAGGGAATGAGAGATTTGATCCAAGGAAAATGAGTGGGGGGGGGTAGCTCCTATTTCAGAGGATCAAGAGCCCTTCGCTGGCATCAAGGTGCCTCCCGTCCAGTGTTAGAATGATAGCTGGGAATGCTGAGGCCAGTGTTGCAAGGAGAAGTTTGCTGAGGAAACGTAGGCGAGAAGTTTAGTCAGAGTTGAGATGGAATAGTTGATGCAGAGGCCAATGTTTCCGTGTGGAGTTGCAAAGTTAAGATAAGGAAGCCTGGATGAACAACAACAAGGATTCTGGGAGAGAGATTGTGGAGAAGGTGGGTTAAAAGTGGGTCGGAAGTGAGTGTAAGGTGGGCTAGAGCATCCAGGTGTATAACACCTGCCCATATCTAGGCGTTATACACAGCTGTTATAGAAGCAACAGCTGTACATAACAGTGAAGAATGAAAAAAAGTCACAATACCGCTACTTGAATAATACACAAATAATACGGACATAGAGCGAGACGTATGGAAACATTCCGATCCGACTTGAGCCATTGATTAGTCACACATGATGGAGAAGGGAATTTTGCCTCTGTTACGTGTGGGTTACTTATGAAGTGGTCAGCAGCTTAGGGTCGGGTTTCTGTGAGTGGCTGTGGCGAGCCTGGAACCACCACACAAACTGAAGTTATCACGTAATAGTTTTGTTGATCACGTAACAACGTGTTTACGTTTGAAGAGAACAGAGTTAGAGGGTCAGTCAGGCACTCAGACGATCGGTCAGTCAGTCCCTTAAGTAGTCAATCAGTCTTTGGTCAGGGAGTCAGTCTGTTTGTGTGATGGCTTGTCAGAGAGTCAGTTAGGGAGGATGGGGGAAGGAGGAAAGCAAGACTGAGGGTCGTGTAGACGGCCATGAAGATGTGTTACCAAAGACAGAGGTATCATAACAGTAAATCAGTAATTATAATCAAGGGCTAATTACTTTACGCTAAAGCGTAACCCAAAGCCTACCCTCGACTCTGGCTTCAAGCATATGAGGCGCAGGGGTGATTTTCCAAGACATTTTCGTGGAAAAATGTGCGCCTTACATGCCGGAAAATACGGCATTTCTTGTTCATGCTATTCTCTCGTGAGCTGAAATTCGTGTCTTACTCATCATTCTCTCTCGTACATCTTTCACTCACGCTTTAGCTCATCCCTTCCTTGAGTTTTTCTTTGTCGTATTTTTTTCTGCAGCAGACTCAACCGTCTTCAGCCAACAATCACCCTTTGTTATTATTTCTCGTGAGTGTCTGTATAGTGATGAACACTACCACTGTGTTCATCAAAATGCTGTTGAACTCTCTCGCTTCTCTCTCTCTCCATATATGATAGTGAGGTGTTGGCCAGACCCCTTATATACCTTCCTTGGATGCTTTACTTTCATAGTTCCTTGATAATGTAAGTAGTCACGAAAGCGCTTGGAATTTCTCTATTCTTTCACTGGTTG